AGAAACGATCAATGTTGGCATACACAATCAAACCATTTATGACTTTTCCAAGAATAAGACAAAAGCAGCAGGTCAAAAAACAGGACAACTAAGATGGACTCACCACGTTATCAGAATGGACAATATATGACACTTTTCAGAACAAGGCGGAATGCAAATCCAAAATTGATGGGATGATTGTATGGGTAATGATGCTATGGGATCCTCAGGGTCAGAAATAGGATAACAATCACACAAGTGGCAGAACTTGGTAGAGGAGTCCAGAATTAGGCATCACTCATCTAGTTGTAATTTTTTATTGGCCTTAAAAATTTTGTAATCATAATTGTGAGCATCAAGTACAGCAATAATTTTTATGTTTCAAACCATTTAATCTTTTTCTTATTAAAATAATAATGTACTTTAATTAATGTAATCAATTACTGCCCAACTCAATCATAGAAATTGGATGGCAGTCACCCAAGACTGAAATAATTGACAGACAATAGGATGACCTGACAGCGCTATTGCACCACTCGATCATACAGATATGTTAGTGATTTAGTCATCATCATCAAATCTCTTTATTCAAAAGTTTAATAGTGGTAGAGATCCTTTTAGACCCAGAATTCAAGCCTGTAAAAATAAAATGGTTCCTTGCTAACCGATAAAGAAAATATTCTGGAATGATGGGTCGGCCACTTTAAATTTCTTTTGAATAAAATAGCAGAGGAGACAAATGGAAGTACGTGTGACGATGAAGATGGAGATACAGAACATCCAGACTTAGAAGTAGTGGAAGCAATCTTGCATATGAAAAACAACAAAGCCCAAGGATCAGATGGATTACCAGCTGAATTCATGAAGTATGGAAGTGAGGAATTTTATAGGGCACAATATGACATGACTCTATATTTAGATACAAGAAGAAATACCAAGACAATGGAGACCGATTGGAATGCCCATGGCCGAACGCCCCACTATTCCTAATCACCGAGCTAGAAACAGGGAGATATCAGACTTGTTTTAAGAAGGGCAGGTCGACAATCGATCATGTATATATATGCTAAGGAGGATTTTGGAAATAAGTCATGAATACAAGCTGTCAACTCACCATTTATTTACAGACTTCAAAAAGGCATATGACAGCATAAAGAGTTCTAAGCTGTATGAGGCAGTCGTAGATGAACGTTCCAAATGAGTTGATTCTGTGATAAGGGTTCTTGACAATGAGGGAGGTGAGGAGTCAAGCCCAGATACAATCTGATTGCTTAACCGAATTCATGTTAATCAAAGATGCAACAAGAAGATAGTCTGACTTCTCTTCTATTTAATTTTACACTAAAAAATTAGCGAGACCAGGGAAATATGGCTCAGACACGAGGCATAATCTTTTCTCATATGATGCAGACACTTGGTTACACTGATGACATAGATATAGATGCAAGATCTTGACCAGAGCTAGAAGAAACATTCCTTTACCTTTTGAGGACAGCTTCAACCATTGGTTTTGTTGTGAATGAATCCAAAATTAAGTATTTCTACACAGGGCCAGAGGCGATCCAGTGTTAGGCTTTTACACTTTTGAAAGGGTAACAGAGTTCACTTACCTTGGATTCCAGGTGAGTTTTGAAAGATATATTAGCAGAAATAAAGAAAATATTGTTGACAGCAAATTGGAGCTACTTTGGAGTACTGAAGATATTTCTAAGCAGACTCTTGAGTAGGCAAACCAAGCCTACTCTTCAGAAGACTTCATAAGAAAACTCCTAGGGATCATCAAGTCGAAGACGGCAGAACTACACAGAGTAAAATGACAGAGGTTTATAGATGAGAAAAAGACCCACTCAGCGTTGTAGTGCCATGGAGATAAATAAATACATCATCTCAAGAGATATCAAACAAATTCAACTCAGGGTTGTAGTGCCATGGAGATAAATAAATACATCATCTCAAGGGATATCAAACAAATTCAATCACATTAGGAAAGCTAGCCCAGTTAAATGACACTACTAAACATCAAGAATAAAGTGGGATAAGGCCAACCAACTCTCAAAGAATCCCGCTTTGGAATTTCGGATTTAGAGAAAAGTAACCGTCTTGTTACAATTCAGACAAACATGTCTATAACATCTGCAAAATGTTAACAGTTAGCACAAAATAAACCAACAGTGAGCAAAATATATAATAGTAAATAAGAACAAAGAATAATAAAAATCTTATCTTCTTTACAATAGATATAATTTATTTTCAGATTAAAATTTCTTATTAAGACCACTTTTCAAAAAACACTCAAAACCAAATTAATTTCTTATTAAATATACAAAAATTTGAGTGATGTGAAAAATGAATGAATTGGTGCCCAGTACTTTTCTCGATGAGAAACTAATAATACTGATTAATAAAGAAAAATACATTTTGTATAGCTTCAAATGTATTGCTGCTTTCCTATATTTTGTCTTACTTCTTACAATGTAAAGAATATAATAGAAATGACTTTCTTACATCTTTTCACTAAATCTTCTCAATTGTAGCCCCTGGGGCGATATGATTGCCGTAGGATACTTACATGTTTAGGTTTTAAAAATTAAAATATTGATATTTATAATAGTCTTCAAAAAATTAAAAATCTGTTGAAAAACTAGATGGAGCAGAAAGACAAGAAGCTACTGGCTATTGTACTCCCATAGATAGACTCCTACATTTTTATGAAGTAAAAGATATATTAACCACAGTTTTTTTCTACGAAACAGGTCTTAAGCAATCATCCAGATGTTAATCCTTTCTATATCATTGTTACAGTAAAACAATGAAGTTATACAATTACATGTCTATCTTTTCAAAATATGTTTAGTTGACTATTTATATAACTTTCATTACCATTTTCCATTAACAGGTGTCCAAGTTTGAAATGGGATAATTGTAAAAGGGTCTTTTTTTGTTGAGTTCTACTAATTTTTATCTCAGTGGATTTATTTTGCTGGGTTTCACTTGTAACATCTGAAATGCTAGGAATACTACTATGTTCCTTAGCCGACATCTGCTCTATTTTTGTATTCTTAGTTATAATGTTTATTTCTTCCTTAGGTATAGTGAATTGTATAAATCCATGGTTGAACATATAAATATTCAGTAAACCATAAACAAATGTACATACATTTCTTCAAGGTATCTGTTTTAATGAAGTTCTACCCTCAGGTATACAGGGAGTCCCATAAGAACAGAGAAATATTAAGACATCAAGAACTCCAAAAAAGTTTATATAAACCATGATCCATTTTTCAACAGAAAAGAAATTTTATTTATTTATTAAGTCACGTTTTTGTTGAATAGGAATTGATAACTAAAATAATATTTAATTGAAGTAATTATCAACTGCTCACAATAACTAGACAACATTTACTTCTAAATAAAGTTGAGTTCATCATCGGTAAACTATTCAAAGATGATTAATGAGTGGTTAAACTAAGCTATGTTGTATTTAAAAAAATTGGTGCCATGCAAGCATTATCAAACTTTTACTTACCACCCTCTATGCAGAAATAAGTATTTTCAGACAAAGGGAAGTGAAAGTAAAAATTATAGACAGTATGAAACATAATTTAAAACAATTAATTGCCATACTTTTTTCATAACCGTTTAATGTATTGTATTTATTTTGTTTGACACTAGCTGTTTCCTTTTACAACTGTATACTTCAATTAATTTGATTATAATAAATAATTATGTGCCATGAAAATTTTATAGTAAGACAAGAGTGGCACTGATTAAAAAGTCAGCTATATTTATTTATATTTTATTGAGAGTATATATATTTGTTTAAGGTCCGGTATATATACAAATTTTAATTTTCATATTGCTGCAATCGACACAATTAAATATTAATTAATACAAAAGATAGCATTCATAAAAGCCACATATGTTTATACATATAATGTTAAGCTTATTTGATGTATGGAAGACAGTTCTAATCTTTCGGGCAAATTCGTATTATATTACAACTATTTTCAGTTACAATTTCTTATCAAACCTTTAATTACTTATCAAATTAATCTTTCATATTATTGTATTACTAAGAGTGAAGTATTGAATTTCATGACACAATGTACCTCCCCTAGTTTATATTTAAATAATTTAAAATCTGAGAACTTGAGAGGATGAAATATTAAAATTAGCCATTTAAGTCCTGTTAAATAATATTAATAAGAATAAAATTTACATTATATTAACTGCTTAATTTTACAATGATATAATGAATTAAATTAAAATCGTTAAGACGTTTTCGAGGAAATTGTAGAATCGATAGAAATGTTAATTTTTTAACAATGAGTTATTAAATTATAATTGTATCAAAAGTCCTCCTTGAATACTAATGAATTGAATATTTACTAATGATAAACTGCACTTAAGTTTGAACGGAATTTTGTCTAATTTATTGTGAAGTAATTGGTAATTACTTAAAACAAGTACTTTTTTTAGTTATCGCCTCCTTTTCAACAAAACACGTGGCACTAAAAAAAACCTAATTAAGTTTCCAACTCTTCTAATGAAAATTGAAATATTGTTTATATACGTTTAGGTAACTCTTGAGGTCTGTTATCATCCCATCAAATTATTTCCTCTACTTATGGGACACCCTGTATAAGGTAGATTATAATAACTTAGGATAATTTCAATAAAAAAAGTTTGATTAAAATTAATAATAAAATAATTAATTTTTATTAGTTAATTTAATTGAAAACGAAAGTTAATTTAAATTTAAATTTTTCATAACATAGAATTAAGCTCATATGCCTTTATAACAGTAAAAGTTTGTAGAAGATCCCTAACAAAACCAACAACCATCTATTATAATACTAGAATGAAACCTAGGATAAAGAGAATCCCAATGTTATATGGCAGATAATAATTACAGAAATGAATAACGAATCCCAATTAAACCTGAAAATTCTATTACTGTCATCTACAAATTCTTATTAATTAATGAATCTTAACGTACAAAAAAGAAAACAATTAAATTTTTACTAATCATTAACAGTTTATTATGTTCAATACATTTCTTTCAATTAAATTTTTAAGTATGTTATTGGCAATTCTTCAGAATCATTGAATTTAAAACTTATAGCATCATCTTATCATTAAATTGTGACCATAATAGCTAAAAGCAACATAAACTTTACTTTAAAACAACCAAAAAAAAAAAAAAATGACTCATAAATCTGGCACTACTTCATATAGTTACTACACCGAAGCCAAGATATTTACACAAGTCATTATTTCATTTTATTATAAGGTGATAATTAAGTTTTGTATTAGATAAAACACTTGCGAATTTCCTGGTATGAAATATATTTGATGAATTATTCAAATCTTATATAAATAAATGGTCATTTTTTACAGTTTTTAAATAGAACAGTGTCATTATAAATCTAATAAAATAACTTAAATTATAATTATAGGTCTAATACAAAAGTAGATATAGTACACTATACCATCTTGGTCTGCGATGACCAACTTGAACATACCAGATATAAAACACAACATATAACACAGACAACATAGAAGTCATTCATTACAAAAAGAAGGTATTAGTGTCCTACACATAATTACAGCTAGGTAAACAAATGATCTTTAAAAATTTGTGTAACCAACCCTCACAAAACAGAACACATCAACTTAAAACTGTTGTTTCAACAAAAAGTATTTTAATAAGGAAATTGATAATTAAAAAAATGACAAATTATTTACAAACTTTATTAACTTATTAAGCTATATAATAAACAAACTAATACAAAATTGCCTTGATAATCAGATTACACATAACTTTTAAGTCTCGAGACAAATATTCATTGAAACAAACTGTTCAGGTAATATTGATAAAAGCATAATAAAATATCATGAGAGAAAATTTCTAATAGAAAAGTTTCTCAATAATAACAACCTGTCAGAAATATAATCTTTATGTATATTTTTTATAGTTGAAATTTACATGTGAGGGAGGAACAAAAGAACATGAAGTTAAAACTCATCGAATTTACCACCCGTTTGTTGTTGATACACTTCTATCGTATCACCTTCTTCCATTTCCAAACTTAATGGGGTATCAGCCTCATTAATTGGTTGTCCATCAAATCTAAATCGAACAGCAGCCATAGCCAGACCCTAAAAATAATGCAGAACATACAAAGCTTGCCTTTTGAAGAATGTAAACATGCAAACAATAGAAAAATGAATTTTAAAAACCTTATACCCTTCCTATGAAATAAAATAGTAAGTACATACATGACATAAAATAAATTAAGAAAACTTACTGCTCTGTCACAATAAGCATTCATTAATTTCCTAAGGGGAGTATGTTTTTTGATTTTGAACTGCACAATAGCATTATCCTGTCCCATGACTTTAAGATTAATATGTTCCGAATCACCAGCTTTTACTTCCTAAAAACGAATGAAATTGATAAGTTAGAGCATTGTACCTAACAAACGCAACAACAAAGCTTAGAAGCGTGCTTACCTTCTTATCGTCTGACATCTTCTTAGAAGTATTATTCCCTTTTTAGAACGTGTAAATTTAACAAGAAGCTTAAAAATAAAGATAATAAATGGTCAAATTAAATTGGCCCACTTGGGTCTGAAATAACTGAAACTTCCAAAACGAACAACCCACTATTACACAAAACAAGAGTTAGAACAGCCAATAGAGGGATACCGGTCAGATCTTCGATGCCAATGCTTCAATGATACATAACTTGCAATTGTTAATAAATTTCGTATTTTGATAAAATAAAACTATATATTTCAAAAACAGCACCAGTGGAATAACCAATATTTTTAAATAATAAACAAAAACAAATTTTAAGAAATTTTAAATAATAGATTGAAAAAATATCGCCGGCAATAAGCCATGTGTGTTCCTAAAGTATGTCGTAAAAATATATATATTTGTATAAATATGCAATTGTAATTAAAATAATCATTATAATAAAAAATATTTATATACAAATAATTACAGTAAATAATTGTATAGTCAATATATTTCCACGAACAAACTTTTCCATATTTAGTTAAGAATGATGAATTTTATTATTGATTATAGGCGGTATTTTTTATATATTTTCTTTTTATTTGATTATTTTAAAATCATTGGTATTATCTTTTTAAAAAAGAGAAGAAACAGCGACCTTAGTACCTTGCAAAGGCGCGTTATCACATATGGCAGACCATGACGAGCTTGAGCGTGAATTTAGCTTGGGTTGTATTCGTTAACGGTCTATTGTTGGATTTTGGTCACAAATCAAATATGCCCCATAAAAGCGCTAGATTTTTTTTTTTTAGAAAACAACAGGTATTCGCGTTTCTTTTGTTTTTAAAAATTCATTTTGCATTGTTTCTTTATAAAATAAAAATCTTTTAAATTAAATAAAATAACCACGTCAAGTTCGATGCCGTGGGGATGGTATCTGACTCACACACATATTTAAATATCAATTTACTTGGTTTTCATCTTATTAAAGGAAGTTGTAACAAAATTATTATTTCCACTATAAGAACTTATTTAATAGCGCACATCCAATTCTTGTAATAAACGATTGAGCCACCAGGATTAGCGTAAATAACACTAAGGCAATGTATTATGATTCCCTATTTTTTTAGAATGAATGAAGAGATCAATAACTGTTGAAGGTATATGCAATCACAACTAAAAGGAGGCTGGGTAGCCGAGCGGACCAACGCGTATGTAAAATACACGAAACTCGGCAACCTTGGTAAACCAAAGATTAGGAGTTCAAATCCAGATGCCAAAGTTACTTTTGCATAACTCTTGCATAATTCCCCGCCCTCCCCCCCTATATCGGGAAAAAATCCGTTTAGCTTAAAAGGGAAGGCAGAAAGAAAAAAAAGTCAACCAACTTCTGTACAAAAATATGTAGACTATTACTGGTCTTTCCGTTCATAATACGACCATTTACCATATCTCTTTTATTTTGCCTTCAGATCTACCATATCGCATTCCTTACCTTCATGCAGGTTTTGTCTAAACAATTTTTATTATTACTATTATTATACTGCATCTAGTATACTCCATCTAATATCCAACTCCGTATATCCATCTATATCTTAATCTAACTCTTCTCCTGCCATAGGAATGTTATATCATAAGCCTCCTGGACAACACTCCTTCACTGATACACACCACATGCTCGTTCCGTCGGAATAGGCTCAGTTTGACGATCTGAACCACAGGCGGATCTACTGGGAGGAGGGGAGGGCTTTCCGGATGAAACTCCTCTCCCCAAAATGGTAAAATATAACCATTTTCAAAAATTATCTCTATAAGTATTATTGTTCGTCTAATTACATTTAATAGCACTTGAAGAATCACTTAAACGACTTTCATATGGGTAGTTAGATTCTTTTTTTCTTCCGATGTAATTGTCTTAATATATATATATATATATATATATATATATATATATATATATATATATATATATATATATATATATAATATACAAAAAAAAAACCTTTCTGGCTGAAGCCTTCCAAAAATTAAATCCTAGATCCATTAGTGATGTGAATGACCTTAAACGGTTGGGAGGCCGAGCTGATGCCTCTACAAAACACGCGTTGCCCGGCAATGTGACATACAATTAATAACTTGATAAAACAATTACGAGTTCGCTTTGCGGTGCGGAAGGCTTTAAACTCTGGTATATATCTCCCGCCCTTTTTCCTATCCTGGGAACCCTCCATATAGTCAATACGGCTAGGATAGGGAGAACAAAAGTAAGTCTGCTTTAAGTTCCATCCATAGACATTCCTACGTATATAAGTAAAAGGATTTTGCACAATCCGCCAAAAAGAATATGGCTTCATTTACAAGGCTAATGGTTGAAGCTGCCCTGAAAAGAATAAGGAATGCTTCTTCCACCTCTGGTAGAGACCTTATGCTACCTATACCTTATAACTATATCTAGATCATCGGCGTAACCAAATATCTGCACCATATAAGAGAAGATCGTGCCTTATAGTCTTTCTTTTTGCAAATTCATATGTGTTTTCCTCAAATTTTGACCACTGAGTGAACAGTAGTTTTTTTTTTTCTGTTGGCATTTGTGATATGCATGTAGATCTTTTGCCGTCTTGCCGATTCTGCTCCATCTCTGCGTGTCTTGGGCCATTTCTTTCCATTTATCTGCACACAGCTCTATTGCATCTTTGTTGATTCTATCTGTCCATCTGCTTTTTGTTGAGGCATTCATTGTTACACAGAGTTTCACTTTCATACAACTTTTCGTTTTTGAGCTAGACTAATAACATACATACACACACACAGACCATTTTATGATCTGAACTTATGTATTTCCGTTGAAAACTCAGACTTAAAAATTTTCACGATCCCAATACTTACCCTTACTATACATTGCATATATAGGTAAGTGAACCTCACGCGGGCTCATTACCGAATATGAGGAGCGTCCCACGGGTGGTGGATGTGGGGATGTTCGGTGGAAATTCCTTGGAAGTTCCTACTGGCTAAGTCCGATGAACTCGCTGACCAACAATGAGAGGAGCCCTCCAGACCTGCTGGAGGGAGAGGACCTCCAGACTTGCTGGAAGCAGGCGCCATACAGACTTGCTGGAGGGTGTGACGTAGGAGTGTGCGCCCTAATCACATATCTTTTGTTTACCATACACCACAAATAGTCATGGATTTTCATAAGGTAAAACGCTCATTATCTTGAGGTATACTAGTCCCCCGTTCGGGTCTTCGGGTGGGGACTGCTGTAGGGGATTCATGGCGCAAGTCGAAAAATAGGGATTTAAGTATTGGTACGGGGAACGTAAGGAGTTTAAAATCAGCAGGAGGGTTAAAATCGGTCCCGAATGAGGGTAATGGGTACAATTTGGATATCGTGGCTGTACAACAGGTTTGCTGGCCAGGGGAGGGCTCAATGAGGGAAGGAAAATACACTATTTGGTACGGAGAAAGTGGGAATCATTGTTTAGGCACAGGGTTTCTAATATGAAATAGATTGCTATCCGCTTTGAGGGACGTGAAATTCTTTAGTGATAGAATTTCCGTAGCGATATATCAGAGACGTTGGTTTAAAATCACGTTCATAAACATACATTGTCCGACAGAAGACAGTGATGATGAAGTCAAACGCGAATTTTACGGTAAACTCGAATGAGGTTTTTGATAAACTACCGCGAAACTCCATGAAAATAATTGTAGGTGACGCAAACGCAAAGGTGGGAAGGGAAGAAGTTTATGTTCCAACGATTGGTAAAGAAAGTTTGCACATGTATAGTAATGATAATGGGATCCGTCTGCCATCTCGAAAAACCTGATTATTAAAAGTACTACGTGTAAACAGAAGGATTTTCATAAATATACCTGAGCATGGCCGAATTTGCAAACACGAAATCAATTAATGTACGGTCGTATCGCGGAGCAGAATGTGGGTCAGATCATGAATTAGTAATCGCAAAACTTCGACAATAACTAAATATAAAAAAGAGAAAAGAAAACCGTTTTGATTTTGAGAACTTTAATTTGGAAAAATTAAAAAATCCACCAATTAGAACTCAATTCGAGCTAGATATTAAGAATAAGTTTGAATCTTTAGAACCTCTTGACGAGGACCGCGAAAATATTGACAAGTTATGGGTAGAGATCAGGAATAATATTAAACCGGTCGGTAATTCGTTTCTAGGAAAAAAGGAAAATAATAACAAAACGTGATTTGATGAATATTACTTAAACATGTGCGAAAAAAGAAAAGCCGCTAAATTAAAAGCTCTAAATAATCCTAGTGAAGACAATCTGGAATATTTCAAGAATGAAACGACAAAATTGCTCAAAAATAAAAAAAGGGAGGATCTTAAAAATAAAATAATTTTTTTTTTTTTTTTGTCCTATGCCTAAGGACAAATAAGCCTGCTTTATCAGCCATGCGTGCTCTTGCAGTCCAATATAGTTTGGCTCTCCTAGCATAAGAGCTGTCCATTTCACTAAAGGAACATCTTAGGGCATGTATCAAGATGTTCTCCTATCATATCCAAGGAACACGGAGGGGATGTTGGGCTATCTTTTATACCGATGTAGTGGAGGTGCTTCTGAAGGAAATCATGCCCTGTGAGCATTCTAAAGCATGCCACGGCTTGCCATCTATGGAGGTCTCTAGGGATCCTGCCACTTTCTTCCAGCAATCCACTCCATCGCTTCCCTTCAATTGTTTGCAAATATTTCCCCTTCAATAATTTAATAATTGAAAATAACGTAAGAGACATGTACAAACCGATCACGGAAATATTTAGGGCCCGTCACGTCTGGAATTAGGGATAAAAATAACAATATTCTGACCGATCCGGTTGACATATTAAATAAGTTTAAGAACCACTTTGACAGTATTTTAAATATGGAAAATTATCATCTGTGTCCTTTCTGAATACCAGAGTGCTGAACCGTTAATAGAAGAATCGAATAAAGAAGAAGTTAAAGTAGATATCAGAAAATTAAAATCTTATAAAGCAGCGGGAACCGATAATATTCCTAGTGAACTAGTTAAGGCATGCGGGGAAGCTGGAGTTTCTTAAAAACATCTTTTGGGTAAAAAGATCTGGGTGAATGAGAAATTATCTGAAGAATGAAAATAATCTATTCTTAATCCGATTCACAAAAAGGGTCCGAGGACAGATTGTAATAACTATCGAGGAATTTCACTC